AAAATAATACACTACATCACCATGGTTTTTACCTGTTGATAACGTACAATTCTCTGTCAAATTCCAGTTGAAAAAAACTTGCTTTATGCAGTGCTTGCTGGGGTTTGTGGACTGCAAACATGTTGCTAGCAAAATATATCAAAACCTTGACAATGAATAGCTTTTCTTACAACTTAAAACCACTGAGCCATATCTTAGCTGTTAGAAATTGGCATAGATCCCCCCGAAGTCAGCAGTGCTGTGCCAGTACAGCTAGGCTGTAGGACAGATCCACACTCATTAGCTGTCATCTAGAATAGGTACCATCCTGTGTTGCTTTGCTTTTAATCTTATGCCAAAGATAGGCTTTTTCCAGGGTAGAAAGCCTAGAATTTTTAAATATGCTACTAAATAAGTATTGTCATTTAAAATGCCTGCAGTACCTTTTCAAAGCAGCGGGTGGCACTTGCAGAGCAACAATGTTCTGTGATTTAGCTTCTTTTACAACAGTTACAGAGGTTTATTGCTTTGTCCTTGTCAATTTGGACACATGGGATTTCAATAGGATGTGGCGTTCAGATCAAGTTCACACTGACAGGACTGAGTCATCTTGTCTGCCTGAAGTCTGTCCTGCCAACAGCAGCAGCGAAGGGTGCCACCACTTGTGGGTGAGGCACTACCTGCAGATTTCCTAATTCTGTGTCTATGGGCACATCCGTGTAAATCAACTCTAAGGAATGTGGGAACCAAGACATGAGCTTTATTGATGGTTTCGTAGGAGCACAAGCTTTCCATCTAAAACTTTTCCATCCAGGAAATGTTAGCGGTAATTTGCTGACCTGTCGTAGCTGTTCCTTACAAATTCAAGTAACCTGCAGGAGTTCTTGAAATTGTGGTGTTGAAAACATATTTAACAGTAATCAGAAGCTGTTAGGTGATTTCAGGACAGTGTCTTATGCTAAAAAATAATTCTCTATAGCAGAAAGCTGTATGGCACTGGTATTTCTGCACTGAGTGTGCTTATAGGCTGAATAAATAAATAAATAAATACATAATGGCTAATAAAGATACACTGAGGGTGTCCTCACAGCACATCACAATCTGTAATAAAAAACCCAGCACGCTAAACAGATATACCCTAAAATAACCTTAGTAGAGTATACTGTACATATTTAATTCCACATCATCTGATTGAGTAATGTCTCTTGTACATTAACACTGCTAATAATTTCCTCTGCAACATTCAAGAGCTCCGCAGGTATCACAAATTTTAATTGCCAGCCTCCTTCTACACCAGCATGCGGCATCTAGACATTATTAAACAAAATGCTGATGATCACCCCCATTTTCTGTTTGTACAGTTCCATTGTATTTGTCTGGTGTGCTATGCAAATTTGGAAAATTAAATGGGAAGCAGTTTGGTTTATTTATCTAATATAGAAATAATGACATATTTTAAAAATCTATAGTGATGTTTGATTTTCTTCAACATGCATATCAACATATGCATGTTGCTATTTGACTGACTGCTGACTCCTTTAAATATGAGAAACGGATCAATCATGCATATCTAAAAATATTATTTTTTTATCACTTCTTCTGGTTATTTTAAATTTAAGACAAATTTACCAGGGTTCTGCTGAAACAAGGAGTCCTAAGTCCAAAAAAGCAATGAGAACCATCATCTTCAAAAGCCGTAATCCTTGGAAGTGCCTGGGGTTTATTCTCAGTTCCATTTTGGACCAGCGAGATCCCTGGGCACCAAAATATAGGATCTTGTGCATGCTCATGTATTCCTGGATTAAAGAACTGGATACCTGGCTCCAATCTGAATTCTATCACAGTGCAGAGGCAGACAGGACAGTAACAAACCTTCAGAACTTCACCTAAGCCTCAGCCCATGGTCAGTGCCCAAGGACATACTGCCTCAGTATGTCCTCAGTGTGTCCTTGCCTCAGGTGCAAGTTTCACAGCTAGTCCTTCTGAAAAAATGTGCAAGAAACGTAAATGCACGCCATGCACAAATAACCTGGTGCAACACCCTGTGTTCTGGTCCCTTTCCCCATTCCTGTGACTTCTTAGGCATTTATTTGTTTAAGAATCACTGAATAAAATTCACAAACAGCTTTGGGAGTAGGAAGCAGAACCCAGTCTTTTCTCCCCCATCTCAGTGGCTCCAGACATGGGCTCCCTCCTACTGCTTCACTTCATCTCTCTGGCTCTGGAGATGTTGCGCCTCTGGCTGTGCAGTGGCCAGATACCAGAGTGCGGCGCTGTCCTTGCAAATCTCCAGCAGCCGACTTAAGGTGTTCATTGAAGGCATCAAAAACAGGGAGTCAAACCATTTCCAACTGAGGCGTGCAAGGGATTTGGCAGTATGCTTTTATGCAAGACGCGCCACTGCCTCCTCCTTTGTTGGTCTTGCTGCCTAGAGGTGGATTCAGCAGTCCCTGGTGGATGAATGTGCCAGTTCTAAGTAACCCTTGGCCTAGGCCTGCCAGCAGCTTTTCTTGAGATGTTCTCCTTCCTTGCTGGCACTAGACGATTGAACACTTGGCTTGGGGAAGCTCTAAATGTATCTCTACAAGCGCCCAGCCTCCCTGTAACGTCTCTGAAAAGAAGTCAACTCCTCACTCCCGCTTTCCCGGGGCACGTTCCCTTGGTGACCACGTGGGTGAATTTCCCTGCTTGGATGATACATTTAACACCAAGGTGTTTTGACACCTGTTTTTAACACCTAAAAGAAGCGGTCTATGCCAGATAGGGAGCTGTAGACAATTTCAGGAAAAATTATTTGCCTCAGCTTTTTTCTGAAACTGGATGAGCAAAAACTGGAAAATTGGAAGGAAAATAATGCTTTCTGTGTTTGAAATCTTTTCATTTTCTCAGATGCTAACAAGCAAATAATTGCTATTAGAAATGGACATAACACATTAGTAGGCAGCACACTTTTTCCCCCCTGATGTTTGATGTAATTGCAATTATTCTAAAGCAATTACTTGTAGCAGGAAAAAACCTACTAAAACAAAAAGCTCTTTTTCCACCTTCATTTTTCCCATAAGTTTGATGTTCCTAGTTGAGCCCTAAAAAACTTATTAGGTAACACCTTGCAGAAGGATAGATACACCTGTGGTTTAGAGGTTTCCTTCTGCAATCCTGTTAAAGGGACATGTTATCAGTTATCTGGGGTTCCAGTTACTTATCACTGACATTAGTAGAAAAAAGATGTCAAAGAGTTGCCATTGCTTTCACCATTGTCAGTTATATCTAAATTCATAATAAAGTACCATGCTGATAAATCTGCTAAACCTGTGCTGAGGTACTGCAAATGAGTTAAAACCTACACAAATATGTTTCAATATATGAAATATTTACCCCTACACAATATTTAATATAATGGTATATTTCACACTATGATTTTCAGTTTATTTTTATGTCAACCATATCCAGGTTATGGAACAATTTTTTTGGTTTATATTTAAATATTCATCAATTCTGTTACTATTTTTTAATTATCTTACCTGAAATTCCAATACCTTCTTTTCCAAACTACATTCTCAAGTTTTCCAGACTTTCAGTTTTCAAGTTGCAGTTTTTTTAAGGAACCCACAAAATCTCAAAATAGTAGTGTTTTCACATCATTTATGTTCTTACTTTGACAGGCTGTGCAGAGGTGGGTTAGAACTTGAGAAAGGTTAGAGGTGCCACGCTCGATAAGGCAAGTGTTCGGAAAGAATTTGTAGCTTGCTGTTACAGGTGTGGCTTAAAAACCAGTAGCTGTTTTCTTAAGGAAAGCCAGTATAATTAACAAGTTTTGGGGTATTTTGCAGCCTTGTTTTTCTCCAAAGTGAGACATCTTACTGTGAATCAGAGTCAATCTCAGTCTTGAGAGAAGTTCTAACAGAATTATTTGTCTAGTGATTCTGGATTTGAGGTAGTGTTTCAGAAATCTATGGCTTACATCCTTAGGTCAGACACAGATCAATTAAACAAATCTGGTATTTATATTAAATAGTTTTAAAGCAATGTGCTTAAAGATTCCACTTGAGATTGATAAAAACAGGGCACACATTGCTAGGAGCTCCCAAATCCCTCTCAACCATTTTCTTCAAGATCATGATCTCCAAACAGTTGACAGAATTAAGTCATACAAGGTACCAGAGCCTTTCTGATCAACACAGGTGCAATTCCTCAGCTAAATTCTTCAGCTGTGATTTGTGCCTCAATTTACCATGTTTGTTACTACTTGCTTAGGACCTAAGCGCGTGTTTTTTCTTGTATCCCACTTCTTTCATGTAACGTCCAGAAAGTCCTAATCACAAGGATGTGCCTAAAACACTGCTCATGACCAGCTGCAAACACAAGCATGTTTTGCCTACCACATTTTTTGCTCTATATCAGAAGGGAAAAAAGGGGGGAAAAAAAAGGATAGTGAAGATGTCAAGGACAGGAATAGGTGGGCAGGCCTGGTTTCAGGGGAAACAGGAGACCTGCTTTCATCTCATCTAACTCTAGACACTGAAATGAGACATCTAAGCTTTTTTAGCTGGCTGTTCTGTATAGTCAAGGCATCTCCAGAGTATGATCCAGCCTAGTCAAAATCCAAAGTAGAGGAGGAGTAGAAAGGATCAAGACAAAGGTGTGACTTGGCCAACCAGAGAAGAAAAGAAATGTGTAATAAAAAGAATAATATTAGTGCTAGTGAACAAAACTATCTGCTTCTTTGCACCCAGAACTAGGTAAGAATTGGGACAGGGAGGCCGAAAGCTGCAAGATAAGGATGGGAACTTACACATTCTTCAAGGAATTTGCTCCATGTGACCATTTTGATCTTGTCCTTTGATCTTGTCCACCACTCTTTTGTGGCATGCCACAAACTGTGAAAAACAACTTGATGATAGAGAACATTATGTGTTTAATTTTACATACACTGAGCATCATAATATTGGTCTGTCAGATACAGATACATGCTATATTTTACAGCACTTAAAAAGTACACTGTCTTTTTCTTAATTTTATAGCTCCGTAAATCTGTTTTCAGCATCAGAGCAAGAAATCTTTTGGAAAAAGAGACAGCAATCAATAAAATTCTAAGGTAAGAGTCAGCAGTGATTTTACATTGTTTTAACTGTCATCTGATTTGTCATAACCTTGTTTTTCATGAATGTTACTGTATGTATAATATTTATGGTAGTCTATCCTTTTGTAGGACATCGATTACTTTCATTATCAAAGATAAATTGCTCTTTTCTCTCTATGTATTACATGCTTGAACAGCAAGAAGAGAGAGGTTGTTCTTCTTCAGTATCTATTTATTGTAGGTTGACCCTGCCTGGATGCCGGGTGCCCACCAAGCCGCAAGGACAGGGAGAACACTCAGCAATTACTGTCATGGGCAAAATAGAATCGATTTGGGGAAATTAATTTAATTTATTACCAATCAAATTAGAGTAGGGTAATAAGAAATAAAACCAAATCTTAAAACAACTCACCCCCACCCCTCCCTTCTTCTTGGGCTCAAATTCACTCCCGATTTCTCTACTTCCTCCCCACAGCAGTGCAGGGGGATGGGGAATGGGGTTGTGGTCAGTTCATCGCACGTTGTCTCTGCCACTCCTTCCTCCTCAGCGGGAAGACTCCTCACACTCTTCCCCTGCTCCAGTGTGGGTCCCTTCCACAGGATGCAGTCCTTCAGGAACAGACTGCTCCAGCGTGGGTTCCCCATGGGGTCACAAGTCCTGCCAGCAAACCTGCTCCAGCATGGTTTCCTCTCTCCACAGGGCCACAGGTCCTGCCAGGAGCCTGCTCCAGCGCAGGCTTCCCATGGGGTCACAGACTCCTTCAAGCACATCCACCTACTCCAGCATGCGGTCTGCAGGTGGATATCTGCTCCACCATGGACCTCCATGGGCTGCAGGGGTGCAGCCTGCCTCACCATGGTCTTCACCATGGGCTGCAGGGGAATCTCTGCTCCAGCACCTGGAGCACCTCCTCCCCCTCCTCCTTCACCGACTCTGGTGTCTGCGGGGCTGTTTCTCTCACATATTCTCACTCCTCTCTGGCTGCTGTTGCACAGGTTTTTATTTTTCCCTTCTTAAATATGTTATCACAGAGGCACTACCACAATCACTAATGGGCTCAGCCTTGGCCAGTGGCAGGTCCATCTTGGAGCTACTGGCACTGGCTCTATCAGACATGGGGGAAGCTTCTAGCAGCTTCTCACAGAAGCCACTCCTGTAGCCCCCCCCCACTACCAAATGCACATAAACGTTCACAAGGGTTGTACGCTAGAAAGCATAGACTGCAGCTAATCTCGTTCCAAGTAGGAAGTGTACAATGAAGAGGACTTCAGAACTGTGACTTCTGTAGAAGGATTTCCTGAATATTTTAATAATGATCACTCATTTTGGTACTCCATATCGAGTAAGTACTCAGCACTGTAAGTAAATAATGAACTCCGAAGTCTCCAAGACCCATGTCTAAAGTTATCATATGGGTATCACCATGCTGCAGCATTTTGTGCCACTGTTGGTTTTACATTAGAATGACTATAATTGATATAAAGTGCATTAGTAATGCCAACAATTTATAGATCATTCTTTTTCTATATTTACATTCTCACCAAAGCAGGTGCATCTCCAGAATATTGTGAATGACTGGTCCCAGGTAAATAAGCAGTAGAAAAAGGAGTAACTGATCTGAGAAGTACAGCTGTGGGATTACATTAAGTATGGCAGTGTTTTATGAGGAACGGTGCGCTAGAAATTCAGTGTGATTTCTGAATTGTGAAGTTTCTTGAAAAGTGCCTTGTAATTACATGCCACTTGAGAAATATTACAGCTCTTTAGTTCTTTTTAATACTCTGTAAGAATACAGCACAGGGAGAACTGTAGAAATTAATGTGCAACTTTATCTGTTTTTAAACCTGTGGTAATGAAAACATGAACAATTACTAATTCAAATTAATGCTCTTTGTCAAAATATTATTAAGAAATGCAACTACAAGACTGTAAGTATTCTATTTTAAAAAAACTTAGGGCTCTATTTGTAAGCATTTATTTCAGTTATGTGAATGTACCTCGATTTTACAGGCATTACTGTTATGGATAGATAAATCGAAGTTGCTTTTTCCTAATCAAAAATATATACAGGCTTCATGGCAGTGTTTCAATAAAACGTTTGTAATGAATTTCTATGTTATATTACAACTGTGAAATGTTATTGGCACCTCTGGGTTACACGAATGTCTGTTTGGCATGTTTCTTATGCTATACCACAGAGGAAATGTGTAGACAAAGAGAATACACCACTGTTTTATGTTTAAAAAACTTAAAAAACCTGTGACATCTGTAAGGGCTACATTCTTTCTTACACAGAAGAAAAAATGAAGTCCTGCAAATCAAAATTCAGAATTCTGATTGATTCTTCCATCAGCACAGAACTGTCTCCTTTTCAGGAGAAGTCTGAAGCAGAGTCAGAGGAGAATCTAAGCAAACCATTGTTTGGACTTCACTAAGTTCTCAGAGGTACCAGGACAAAATCAGAATTCAGTCCTTCCGATTTCAATGCTGCTGATTTCCACTTGGTCCTTCAGAGCATGGCTTCTGCCAAAGTTTTGTGTCTTGAAGTACTTCTCATGTATTCACCTCTGAAGAAATGTTTCAGAGGCAGAAGAAGAAAGTTTTCATTTACTAATCTATTAATTTATTTTAATTAACTTATTTAATCTGTCAATTTAATCTACATTTGCTGTGCTTTCCCACCTACTTCCTGGGTCATAAATGATCAACTTTTGAGGAACAGGGAGAAGAGGAGGGAACTTCTGTCAAGTAAGCAAAATGTGGGATCAAATGTCCTCCAATGCTTACTGGGGATGCTTGGAAGTCATTTACAAAGAGGCAGTCTTATTCTCCTGCTGAGAAAAAGCAACAAATACTGTCTATTGTTTCTTGTTATTCCCTCAAAATTGTTCTGAACTGTGACACCTCCAGTGCATCTGTTCCAACATAAGAAAATTGTGTTCCTGGTCTATCTGGGGGGTGTTCTGATAGAGGGCATTGCCACTGATGGCCCACTGGTCCTGAGCACTGCCAGTGTTTCCATGTTGATGCCAGTGTTGCCAGTGTTGATGCAGGGGAGTTTTACAAACAGAGAAAAAACTGATAAGAAAGGATAATATTTACAGCTGAAACTTTGGATTCAGTTCAAAGAACACAGGAAAACTCAAACCAGAAGACATGAGAGATTCTTTTTCTTATTTTTACTTTACTTGTAAGTGCTGTATACTCCTTATTAAAAGTAGCTGAATCTCAGCTGTTTAGAGTATCTGCCAAAAGAAGAAATGGCGTTTATGCCAAGAGCAATAAGACATAACTCAGGATGTCCTTTCTAAAAAGATTCCTTTTTGTGTCTTTTTAATTTTCATCTACCTGAATTAAGGGGCATTTGTCTAAAGCAATGCCTTTACACAGTAAAGCTTCCCATGGGCAACTTCAACTTGTTCAAATTGCCATACCGAAAAGTTAATTTTAAGACTAGTCTAGCTTAAGTCCACCTCTTACGTTTTCCCCCCTACTTTTTAAACCTTGTCAAATTATATTTTAATCAAATTCTGAATGTTTCAACTTAACCAACCACATAGAAGGAATATGCATTACAGACAGGTACCTTTATGTCTCTCTTGTGCATCTTCCTCTATCCAAACCTTGTTTTTCCCTTTATATATTGAACTGCTTGACATCATGTTCTCCAGGAAGAGGAATAAGAGCATAAAAAGCCCACAGTTCATACATTCAGTCCTAGATGTCTCACTTGTTTGACTAATGTTACATTATGCAGCAAAATGGAGGTCTTGGGTCTCTTCATTTTCCTGCAACTTCCTTACTGCACTCCAGGGGAACCACCTATTTTCTGAAGATCCTTGCCTTGAAACCAACCTTCACCTTGCCCCCTTGAGGTCTTGGTGTGGTTAGTCCCGGGAACAGAGTCAAGGAAGTAGACTTTCAAAGAAGAACTTTTTCGAAACAGAATTACATTTAGTAGTGCCTCTGAATTACAAACAGCACCATTTCTGAAAATTAGGATGCATTTGCCTCAGCAGAAATAACCTCTGCTTCCAGCAAATTTAATTCCTTCTACATATCTTCATTGTTTCTCACTTTTCTCTCACTCTTTCTTGCCATGGGCACTGCTTTTCATCTTAAAAGCAAGTTCTGTGTCTGTGGTTCTTCTGACCCTCGTTCTTTGTGTGATCATTATCTAAGAATGGATGTCTAGTCCTTTTTTAGTCCCACTGGCTTTCTGAAGTAGAGAAGGTGGAGAAGGTCCAATCAAAATGTTGTGTGTAAACAAGTTCATTCTCTGGAGTATTGAGGATAAATTGTAAACATCACAGAACGGTGGGGAAACTGAGCAAATTAAAAGTAATCTCACATAGTCCAAAATATAATCAAAGTATCAGTGGTGCAGAACATGATTCTGGTGTCTAGTAAATGATGCTTCACAGTCTCATAATGGTTGAGGTTGGAAGGGACCCCTGGAGGTCATCTGGTCCAACCTCCCTGCTCAAGCAGGGCCACGTACAGGCAGTTGCCCAGGACTATGTCCAGACAGCTTTTGAATATCTCCAAGGATGGAGATTCCACAGTCTCTCTGGGCAACCTGCACCAGTGCTTTGTCACCTTCACATAAGGGTTTATGCCCTTACTTTATAAAATACAAGGAATAACTTAGAAGTTCTCTGGTCTGTTGGTAAGAAAATCAAACTCACCAAAATGACAAAATTTCAGTTTATTATAAAATATGTACTGTTACAGTTTGGGAAACTAACGTTTTTTAAATGGGCAGCTTTTTATTTGCCTTTCGTTACAGTTGATGCGATAGTCAAACTGTAAACTGATAGGATTTTCACTGTTCTTGTCAAGATTTGTCTGATGCTTTTATGGGCCTGAGGGAATAACATAGCCCATGCTTAAGTGGAACTTTCAGTTTCATAAACAGGTAATTGAGTGAAGTGTATTTATCATACGTCTGAAACTGAGACTGCCATGAGTGCGTCTTGAGAGAAAACAAAAAAGAATTGCTTGAATTAAGTAT